AACTTCCCCCCCCCCCCCTACCTCCCAACTTTGTCAACCAACACCTCTTTCTTTATCTCCCTCCTCTCTCTGTCCAGACCCCCCCCCCCCCCCCCCCCTCCTTATTAAAAAAAAAAAAAAAAATCCTCCATCTCTCTCTCTCTCTCTCTCTCTCTCTCTCTCTTGCTATCTGCTCCCCTCTCCATTAGCTACACTTATTGACATCATCTCAAATAAGTTTGGAATTTCTATAAATATAAAAAATACTCTATGCCAGAAGAAATTACAAATGCATCTACTGCTGTTCTGCATAATACTGTCAGCTTTAATTCTCAACTCTCGCAGACAGAAAATTTTAAAAATAGTTTCACAAACAAGGAAAGCTCATTCACATTTCATTGTGACAGCTATTCTCTTTACAATGACTTGAGTTCTGGGAAGAGGTGAAAAATAATTTTTAAGTGTTGCCTTGTTATTTTGCAAGTGTGGAAGCACATCAGATAAAAAATTTCCCCTGAAAAGCATGGCTCTTCAATGCCTTAATATTCTAAATATGGCATGGAACAGCATAAAAATCAGGACAGGCTTTTATGCCTCATGTTTGTGTAGTCCCATATACATCTTTCTGTGTACATAGTGCTTGTAACTTTACCAAGACTGGGCCAAATGACTCCAGAACCTTGCAGTACACACCAATACTTATATTCTAGATGATCAACCTTTTCTGATCGATTCCACAATTTTTCTTTCACAATGCAATCGCATGACCAAACCTCAACTTTACCTTTAATGCGCTTGAAATTTTTTGTTTCTTACAACACGCAGATAGTGAGTGCATGTAGGGCATTGAGCCGTAAAGATAATCCATTCTTTATTAAGCGCTATAAAAATCAAGATTAAAGCTAAAGACCAGTTATGGTCATGCAATTGCATAATGAAAGAAACGTTGTGAAATCGATCAGAAAAGATCCTAAGTTGAACTCATCTCTAAGTTGGACTTAAAAATTACGGAGAGCCATTTGTAGCCTTAAAATAGAATATATTCAGAAGCAAAAATTCAAGTATTTTAGACTTTTCATAAATTCCACATCAAGAACATGAAATCTCCTTGAAATATGAATGATTTGAATCAATATTTTGTGCCTTTAAAAATAATTTTTACAAAATATTTTCAAAGATGCTAACAGCTTTCCATAATTATCAAGTCCAACTTAAAGATAAGTTTAACTTAGGATATTTTTGAAACACCCCCAGACCTCCAATCAAATATCAAGGAATACTTTGTTTTTTTCAAGGTGATAAACAGGAAGTTGACGGAAACAGAAGACAAAAATGTTGCTCATGTCTGTCTGATTAAAGAACAACTGCATGGTCTATTTTGAAGACAAGACAACACTTCACATGAAAGTAACGGTCATGGTTATAAGCATTTAAATCCTTTACGTACAATCATTTTACAGCATTGTAAGTACAGAGCGAGAGAAAGTGTGGGGGATTAGGAAACATAAATATACAACACTAAAGTATATATTATATATTGATTTAAAACAAAAATATATTGTTATATCGTTATCAATGGTTATCATTACAATGTCTAATACAATTTCAAAGACATTCAGAAAAGATCACTAGATCAGTAGAGGTGTCGTGGACTAGTGGATATGTCACCGGACTGTGGATCACAAGGTCCGTGGTTCAAATCCCACCGCGGCACTAATGTCCTTTAATTGGCAAGACATTGATCTACATTTGCCACTCTCCACCCAGGTGTTAAATGGGTACCCGAAAGGATGCGAAAGCTAATGTACTTAGATTAGCAAGTGTGCGCTTGTCAAAATGACGCCTGGCTGGAATGCTCCCCGGGGAGCGGAGAATGTGCATACATTGTGTGCGGGTAAGCCTGAATCCGATGACCGGGGTAATAATATGATTGCAGGGCCCTCAGGGAGAACAGTATGAAGGCTGATGAGGCTACCCTGGGTAAACAAGACATTATCACATATTATTAATATTATATCGCTTGTACCCCCATGTACATTACCTAACAAAATCATTGATGTGGGGTCATCAAGGAGGCTGTTCACACCGCAATGAGATAGCGCGGTCTATCGTAGCACCCCCTTTTTTCTAGCGCGCGCTAGACCGCGCCATCTCTCGTGGACCACCCCCAAGAGGTGCTCCAGTGGCACGCTGTGGCTCGCTGTTGGGCGGACCGAAACGACGTTGTACCTTTCAAACCGCAGAGATAGCGCGGTCTAGCGCGCGCTATCTCTGCCGGTGTGAACAGCCTCAAGGACGTGTAACTATAGTTCACTACCTGGGGGGCATTTCACAAAACTTGTCATCAGTGACAAATGACAGTTTTTGTTATAAGCTACTGAAATCCTTGCTTCTGATTGGTTATCAGCAGATTTGTCGCTGTTAGTTTTGTAATTTGTCATTGAAAAAAGGCTTTGTGAAACACCCCCCCCCCCCCCCCTGGACTGTGGCATTCTATAGTGTGAGTCAAAAAAAGTTTACACCTAGAAAATTGCTAATTGTTCTAAAAATCATCTGTGAACAGGAAGTTATTATTCATCTTATGAAAGAGTTTTTTATTTTAAATCATTTAGTATCAGTTTATGTGGTATGTGTTCACGCTTGGATGAACAGGAGGCAGAGAGTGCAAAAATCGACTTGCGCCAAAGTTGCTTATGTGATGTTTGAATAAAACATTTGGGATTCTGGTATTAATTCGGTCTTTGCAGATCCACATAACATCCATAACAAAATTAATCTTGCCACACATATCAAATATCGTATATCAAATATCAACAAACATTTGTGCGCACGTGTGTGTTTACGTGTGTGCCTTGCGTCTGCAAGAAGCATATGCGATGCATTTCATTTGATACATTCAAATCATTCTCACACTCCGCTAATCCCAACATAATACATACTGTAGGCATCACTTTGGTGCAAGTCGAATTTTGCACTCTCGCAAACAATGCCTTCAGTTCATCCAAGCGTGAACACATAACACAAAAAAATGATACCACGCATAAAGAGCTCGGATGGAATTGAGACATTTGCCTCTCTCCACCCAGGTGCATATGGGTACCTGGCATCGCTGGGGTAATAATAATTGCAGGGGTTATTAGAACGCTCACGTTAGAATAGGGCATCCAACTTCGATTCCATCCAAGCTCTTTACGCGGGGTTTCATGTTATCCTTTATTTTCTTCATGCCCCTTTATTACCAGTTTACCTATAGAATGCCAGGTTTGTTGAGGCTGATTTCACACATTCTAGCTGTACACACACACAAACAAAATTGGCTCAGTGATTGGTACACTTTTAAGGGCATTGTTAAACAATGTTTAATTTGAGATGCATGGCCCTACACGTTATCAGTATCTGTGATATGGTGTAATTTTAAAGCCCTAAAATATGCGCTTCAAAATGATCATGTAGCGCCTCAAAAAGTAAGAAATCTTTGAGTGCCCGGTTTTTACCATACCGGTACTCATTTTTTGATAATTGATTATTGAAGAAAAAAATATTATCTAAAGATCGTAATGGAGAGAGCAGATAGTGGCATGAATGGCATGCCATGGTTAAGTCCAACTTAAAGTCGATCTTAGTCTTTGTGAAACACCCTCCTGGCAAGAAACAGTAGCAAGCGGCGACATGTTGTAAAGATGGGTGTGGAAAGCGGCAAGAGGTAGAGAGTGGAAAATGGGAAGAAAAAAACAACACAGACATGGAATGTTTTCGTCGGCACTATCGCTGCAAAGCATCACTTTCACCTGGACCAACTGCCTGGGGGGTGTTTCACAAAGATCTAAAGTTGAACTTATCTCGAAGTTGGACTTAAAAATTATGGAAAGCTGTTAGCATCTTTGGAAATATTTTGTAAAAGCTATTTTAAAAGGCATAAAATGTGGATTTGAATCATTCATATTTTCTATTATCAAGCAGATGTTCTTGATTTAGAATAATGAAAAATCTGAAATTCTTGAATTTTTGCTTTTATATATATTTTATTTAAAGGGTACAAATGGCTCTCCATAATTTTTAAGTTCAACTTAGGATCGTTGTGAAACACCCCCCAGAGGGTGCATCTTTCAAGAACAGGATTTCACATTCACTGCAGGAGATGCAAGAAAACTACAGACCAGGGGGGTGTTTCACAAAGATTATAAGTCGAACTTAACTCTAAGTTGGACGTAAACATTATGGAGAGCCACTTGTAGCCTTAAAATAAAATACATTAAAAAGTACAAATTCAAGTATTTTAGAATTTCTATAAATTCCACATCAAGAACATGAAATCTTTCATGATAATAGAAAATATGAATGATTTGAATCAATATTTTATGCCTTTTAAAATAACTTTTACAAAATATTTTTAAAGATGCTAACGGCTTTCCATAATTGTTAAGTCCAACTTAGAGATAAGTTCAACTTAGGATCATTGTGAAACACCCCCCGAACTGACTTTATAGGTGCAAACTCCATTCTCTCGAGACACATCTTTGCCAACACTTTGCATCCCATCATTTCACTAAGCTAAAAAACGTGTGTCTTTTGGCCCTCTGAATGAAATTTAAAAAATTTCTTTAAAAAGACACTATCTTACTAAGTACTAATGAGAGTCAATGGAATTATGGATAATATAATTGCCACATTGATGTATTAAACGATATGAATACCATAAAAAAGTTGATTACGAAAAGCCGATCATCCCCTAATGCTTTAACGTGTATGAAGCACCAACAAATATTTTAACCTGCATACATCGTACTTGTATATATGCTAGTACACTACATAAGAATCAACAATTGTTCCTCTTCCAACAGTACATCTTTTCAAAATGAACAAAACTTGGTTCAATATTTTAGTTTAAATAATGTGAATTCAAATTTCACATCTCTTCTGCATATTTTCATTGGCAAAACAGTGTAGATGAAATTCACTGCCTTTTTACACGTTATCGAAGCTCACATTCACATTATGTCAGCTGAATAATACTATTTTTCTTAAACTCACTCAATCACAAACCAAATAATGGACAAAGATTTGTTCATTTTGAAAAGATATACTGTTTTATTATCACGTTCAAACATGGGTGGAGTTCAAATCTCCACGTCCAATTGCGCAGTATAAAAATCAAAACGGTTGGGACAAGAAGTCGCAGTACAAAAATCAAGACGGTTGCGACAAGAAGTCATAAATACTATACATATTTCACAGAGAGATGGTGGGAGAAAAGCGGAGGAGTTAAATCCTTCTTCATCTGACTTTGTCAAACTGTTCACGGAGCCACCTGGAGTCGCGGTAGAAGCGGGGGTCTCCCAGCCGTAACGCTGTGCGCTTGTAGTAGTAGTAGTAAAACACAGCACCTAGTGAAAACATAATTGAAATATTAGAGAATATTGATCAAGAATGCAATGGTTACTGCGGTTCTCCCCACTAACCAATATAAACTAGTTACTTTTGCCTTTGGATTCAAAGGGCAATCCAACCCTTGTAATAAGTTGATTTGAATGAGAGCAGAAAAATAACAGAAACAGAATGGCAAAAGTTTGAAATGAATCGGACCAATAGTTAAGAAGCTATGAATGTTTGAAATAAGAGATCATCAAGTCTATGCGAATCTCAAATTGGTAGTTCGGTCAGTGGATTGTGAAGTAGGACGTGGATAACTCTCCCATTTGCTGTGTCCAAAATTATCACAATTTGTTTTTCTTTTTTTAAGTTGCTTAGAACTCCCCTGGGGCACTTCTCAAAATATATTATAGAAAGCATATTATTATAGGTCCTCTAAAAAGAAAAGACCCTACTGAGCAAAAAAAAAGAAGAAAATTTTAAATTTAGTCATTTTATATGTTGGAACAGATAGGAAAGTAGTCCGGCACTAAATCACATTTACATTACTGCCTCAGCTAATTTGAGGTGCCCATACGTATAGTGATTACAAATTTTTTTAAATGGTAACTTTCTTATATTTAGTCAGATTTACCGGTAATTGAAACTTTCATCAATTTTGCTTCTCTGATCTTTTTGCTTTCTAATACCGTGGTTGTCTATTTGGTTTGGGTTTACCTTTAAGAAAAAAGATGCATCAAATAAAGCTAATCATCATAAACATTTGTCCTCATAAACATCATACTATCCCTAACCTTTGGTTATACAAGATTTATGAAACATTGGGTGTAAAGTTGTAAATTTCGTCAAGTTAGTGTTTGATATCGACTGTCCAGAAAAACCAATCTGTCTTGACAAACAATGAAAGGTAATATGTACAAAGTCAATGCGAACTCTGTCCTGATGTCAATATGAAACATTGCATGTAAACTTCATCAATTAATTGTTTGATATCGACTGTCCAGAAAAACCAATCTGTCTTGACAAACAATGAAAGGTAATGTACAAAGTCAATGCGAACTCTGTCCTGATGTCAATATGAAACATTGCGTGTAAACTTCATCAATTAATTGTTTGATATCGACTGTCCAAAAAAACCAATCTGTCTTGACAAACAATGAAAGGTAATATGTACAAAGTCAATGCGAACTCTGTCCTGATGTCAATATGAAACATTGCGTGTAAACTTCATCAATTAATTGTTTGATATCGACTGTCCAGAAAAACCAATCTGTCTTGACAAACAATGAAAGGTAATATGTACAAAGTCAATGCGAACTGTGCAAAATTTCACTATGTGCATGGTAACCAGAATTTTGAGGGATCTCACTCTTGGACTATTAACCGGTTTTGGCATTTTTTGTTTCTTTAAAAGAATGGCTAAAATCACAACTCCAATTTCGACCAACCAGATGGCTGGCTTTCGTAAGTGAGGTACATAATAAGTAACATTTCATACAAAAATAGCCCAATTTTTTCACCGACATTCAACAATGTTACCGAATCACTTTAATATGGAATGTTTGTGGCGCAGATAATCTTGGAAGACTGAAGAGCGTCATTTAAACCTTAAGGCAACAACTCCTTTTCTAAATTGACTCAATCATCTTACCAACTCTTTGAAAGACGTACAGGGCCTGGTAACCATTGTTCCAGATATAGGCATCCACATTGTTCCATCGTAACGTCTGCAGAAAAAAAGGAGAAAAAAAAAGTTACAATAAATCCTCATTTTTACATCTCAATATAAAAGCCCCACTGTCCTACTTGTAGCTACTTGCTTCCTCTATATAGAAAACTTCCCAATCGGTGCCTGTTGGTCCCCCATGATCCTCTTTTTCTTATGTTAGTTGAGAGCTGAGTTAATGAGATAGCCACCTGTCAGTGACCTCGCTGTGTGGTCTAATCCCTTCTGGCCCAGTACTGTAGTGTTGACGGTCTTTAAAGGGAATGTCCAACTTGATATTGAATGAGTTTCAAATAAATACAACAGGGAAAATACAGAAACGGAGCAGTGAAAATTTGAAAGAAATCCAATATAAAAAAAGGCAGTATTGAAATTAATTTGAAAAAGTAGTAATCGATCAAACTCCAATGGGCAATTCTGTGACATACCTTTTGAGCATCTCTTCCATTTGCTTTGTACATATATTTATTGGAAAAGATCCTTTTGAAACAGGGTATATTAATATTTAGTTTTACAAAACACAAACATAATATCTGTACAAGTACAGAATAAATATCCATTCTCATGGTTTACTGATAAAGGCTTACCGGTAGATATCCTTCATAAGGGATTTATGTTTTAAGTTAGGTACAATAGTTACATTAGGGTTATATGCTTTTAAACATCAATATTTACTTGAATGGAAATTTATTAGGGTTTTGTAGTTCAGAGGAAAGGGGAGAGGTCCTCAAATGGTTCAGGAGAAAGAGGATTACTTATCATGTTGTGCAGTGGCTTGATCTACAAGCCTCTGCACAGTATGCAAGGAGTTATTGCAGCCATTCATCAAAGCTTCTTGCCATGAAAAATCGCAGACTTAAAGGCATGGTTTAACAATGTTAAATCTGAAATGCATGGCCCTCCCTAGCTACGTGTTATCAGTTTTGAGTACCTCATTACACGCTTATGCACAGCCCTACCACAGATACAAGAGAAATTCTTACCATTGTCCAAACATGTAGTCCCACACACAGCATAAAGTATAAAAACAAAATGACGATGGTGAATTTGAACTTGGAGACGAGGTAACCGACGAGCCCGGCTTGAAAGACGTACGTGTTGAAGAACATGAGAAAGATGACGATGGTTGCAAAAATCTGGGAGATATCTTGGATTCTGGATGGGAAAATAAGGAAAAACATTAATGACATTTTACAGTGGAACCTCGTTAAGATGAGGTTCATGGGACCACGGAAACTTCCTTGTTATATCAGGAATCTTGTTATATTAGGGTTAAAGAGAAGGTTGAGTTCTGGGAAAGAGGTACAAAATAATTTGTGAGCGTTATCATTGTTAAATTATGCAAGTGTGAAAGAACATCAGATTAAACATATTCCCTGGAAAGCATGACTCTTCTTTAACGCCACGTGTTTGTGTAGTCCCATGTACATCTTTCTGTGTACAGTGCTTGTAACTTTACCAAGACTTGGCCAAATTTCTTATCATTTTGATGAATCCAGAACCTTGCAATACACACAAATACTTATATGCTAGATGATCAACCTTTTCTGGTTGATTCCGCACCTTTTCTTTCACAATGCAATCGCATGACCAGAACTCAACTTCATCTTTAACACAAACAAAAGAATATAAAGAGCTTGGACCAGCAAAAGCACCTTGTTAAAACTGAAACCTTGTTATATCAGAGGTCTTTATAGTGAGGTTCCGCTGTATTTTCGAATTGAGATATAGCTTGTCACATGTCCGTGTACAGTTGTTTGACACCCCCCCCCTCTGCAATAATTGCTCCATCTCAAATTTCTACACAAACCCAATCTTTTACTATAACCCTGGATAAAACCCAATTCCTAAAGCCTCGGTCACAAATACCGTTACGGGCTGCTACGAACGCCATACGAACAATTTTCAGACAATGGAAATTCGGGAAGACAATGGAAAAACAGGGAGATTCGTACGAAACTATCGTTCGTATGAACCTTTGTGACCGTAGCATTAGACTAACCCTAACCCCAAAATAAAACCCAATTGCAACTCTAACCCCAGAGATGCCAACCTCTTGACACAAAAAAAAACAACAGACTGAGTATCCTTTAAAAAAGAAAATCAGATCAGATTTAATCATACTGGTAGGCATTTCTGTAACCCTATACCTCTGATACTGTTGCTAAACCAAATGTTCGATCACCCTGTATACCTCAGGGCAGAACTAAGGGGATTAGGGGGCATGACCCCCCCCCCCCCCCCCAAAAAAAAAAAAAAAAATCTTATACTAACCCTAACCCTAAAATAAAACCCAATTGCAACTCTAACCCCAGAGATGCCAACCTATTGACATACAAAAAAAAGAGATCGAGTATCCTTAAAAAAAGAAAATCAGATTTTGGAGAGAAAAATCTGATTTTCACGAAAACTTGACACTACCACTGGCCCATCGGCCACGGGTCAGTAAAATTTCAGGAAAATGTTTTACTGGTAAATACGGTCAAGTAAACTGTTTGTTTTTATATCAAAATTTAATGACAAAATTGTAAAGCAAACTTTTTGTTGGGGTTGTGGGGGTTTACTTGTTCACATTTCTATGCGATTCCGTTGTTTTTATGGGTTTATAATTTTTTTTTTTTTTTTTTTTTTTTTTAAAGATGAAAAATCGTATTTTAGGAGGTGATATCATAGTATCGTATTTCACTCTTATTATCGTACTAAATACAATTTAATGATACCGGTAGGCATTTCTCTAACCCTATACCTCTGATACTGTTGCCAAACCAAATGTTGGATCACCCTGTATACCTCGGGCAGAACTAAGGGCATTAGGGGGCATGACCCCCCCCCCCCCCCCAAAAAAAAAAAAAAAAAAAAAAAAAAAATACACCCCCTCTCCTATCTCCCTCAAAAGCATCCATTTAAAGACCGTCAATACTACTGGGCCAGAAGGGATTAGACCACACAGCGAGGTCACTGACAGTTGGCTATCTCATTAACTCAGCTCTCAAACTAACATAAGAAAAAGAGGATCATGGGGGACCAACAGGCACCGATTGAGGAAGTTTTCTATATAGAGGGAGCAAGTAGCTACAAGTAGGACAGTGGGGCTTTAACCCTTGATCTGCAAGAAGCATCATTCTTTGTTAACATAATATTGGATCTGCTACTGGTATTATGTAATGGGATAGAACAATTGCAAGAAACCAAGACAGAGAAAAAAAGGTAACAAACCGTGTCCTTTGTATGAATAATATATAAACCCCTCATCAAGATATTTCTTTACATTTCATTTAATTGCATGTTCTATAGATAACCTTTAGAACATAAACCAGACAATGACCAGGGGGTGTTTCACAAAGATCCTAAGTTGAACTTATCTCTAAGTTGGACTATAAAAATATGGAAAGCCATTAGCATCTATGAAAATATTTTGTAAAAGTTGTTTTAAAAGGCATTAAATGTTGATTCAAATCATTCATAATTTCCTTTATTAAGGAGTTTTCATGTCATAAACGTGGAATTTATAAAAAGTCTAAAATACTTGAATTTCACTTTTGAATATATTTTATTTTAATGCTACAGATGGCTCTCCATAATTGTTAAGTCCAACTTAGAGATAAGTTCAACTTAGGATCTTTGTGAAACACCCCCCTAGGTCAATTATGTTGGAGCCTTGGAGGGTCGGAAGCGTCATGGCATGAAAGACATTAGCACTATACAAGCAGCCACCAATCATTGATATCATTATTATCACTGCAATAAAACAGGGCTTCAAACTAACTTTTTCTTTACAAAGAGGGTCCGGATTGATATTTTTAGGTTCTATATGTTCAAATTTTGCGGGTCCAGTTTTAGTGTCCGCGTGTCCTAGGAGCATGTTCCCGTCGAGTTCTGAACAGGGATTATGACTTACATGAACAGGACCAGCTGGGTGACATTGTCAATTCGAAGAAGGTCACAGAATGCGTTGATGAAGAGGTCTACAAAGAGGAGGAAGTACTGCAGATACAGCACCCCTCGGTACTGCGACACTTGCATCTTGGGGATATCCTGGAAGGCACAAGAAGAAAGACAAGAGAATCATTGTATGCTACATGTAGAGACTAGAGAGTACATTGGAGAGAGATCTTCAGAAAGAAGGGAAGGAGCGCAGCAATTACAGCACCCCTCGGTACTGCGACACTTGCATCTTGGTGATATCCTGGAAGGCGCAAGAATAAGGACAAGAGAGTGTAAGTAATGCTGCAGAGTACTTGTTGTACAATGAAGACAGGTCTTATTCTTATTCCTGGGGAAGAGGAAAGTATTTGGTGATACAGCATCATACTACTAGTCCTAAAACACTTTCATCTTGACGATATGCTGGAAGATGCACCTAGTGGTGGCCTGTACTGTAACTGAAGAAGTAGAAGACACAAGAAAGAAGAAAAAAAAGAGTAATAATAAATTAATAATAATATTAATAATAGCTTTTATATGGTGCTGTCTGTCTAGACAACTCCATTCCGAGGCACACAAGAAAAATAGAAAGAATAGAAGAGTTTGGATAAGTGTCATAGTGCCAAGTAAAGATATTGTTAAAAAAAGATGAGATTTCAGCTTGGATTTAAAGGTAAAGACCAGTATTGGAAACGTCCCCAATTTCAAAAAATGAAATGGAAGCTCTCATTACCAATCATGTGAAAGAATATGTTTTGACTAATACATGATGATAACAAAGTTGCCGGGAAACTGCCTACTAATTCATATATTTGGTAAATTTGTTTCTCTCATGGTCTGTGAGAGATATAGGGTAGTCCCATATACATCTTTCTGTGTATAGTGCTTGTAACTTTACGAAGAATGGGCCAAATTTCTTATCATTTTGATGATTCCACAACCTTGCAGATGCTAGATGCTAGATGATCAACCTTTTCTGATCGATTCCACAACGTTTCTTTTACATTGCAATCGCATGACCATAACTGGTCTTTACCTTTAAAGGTCTCTAAGGAAGTTATGATTCTCAAATTAAATGGTAAATTATTCCAAAGAGAAGGTGCCGCAGCTGAAAAAACCCTTTCACCACAGGCTACTCGCGCCTTGGGGATCTTAAGAAGATGCTGGTGTGATGATCTTAGACTACGAGCTGGTGTATAAGGCATAACAAAGGTTTTGTAAATAGTTTGGTGCCAATCCATTTAGCTTTATAACTCTTTGCATGCCATAGAATGCAGAGTTGCATGAATGGACACACAAGTAAAGACATGAGAATCGATGTATGCTAGAGGGTCTAGTTAACCGACAGTGACAAAATATCTTAAAAGAGAGAATGAAACACTCCCTAAGCAGCACCCCTCAGCATCCCGACACGGCACTAATATCCTTTGGCAAGATATTAACCTGCACTTGCTACTCTCCACCCAGGTGTCAAATGGGTACCCGGTAGGATGCGGCCGTCATTGTTGGTCAAACAGCTTGTGAGCATCAAGTAACGCCTGGCTGGAATGCTCCCCAGGGAGTGGAGATTGTGCACACAGTGTGTGCGGGTAAGCACTGAATCCAATAACCGGGGTAATAGTATATGTAAAGCGCTTAGAGACATTTGTATTAAAGATAAACTAAGTTCTGGTAAATAAAGAAAATGAATTCTCACAGAATCTAACAAAACTTACACTGAATGTTCAAGATTACAAATAAATGTCATGTGCCAAACAATTTTGGAAGAAAATGTATACTGGCTGAGTAATGAGCATAGAAAGATAAGGAAATCAGGGTAGTACTAGCCCCGACACCATGTGTGTTGTCCCATATACATCTTTCTGTGTAAGTGAATGTTACTTTACCAAGACTCTGCCAAATTTATGATGATTTTGATGACTCCAGAACCTTGCATTACACACCATTACTTACATGCTATATGATCAATTTTTCTGATCCAATGCAATCGCATTACCAGAACTCAAGTTTATCTTTAAGCGCTATATAAAAATTAAATATTAGTATCATTATTATTACTACATGTACTCTTGAACCTTGGTGATATCCTGTAAAAACGCACTCCAGCAAAGCATAGAGTCAATGCTAATGCGTATTGACCTTTAGCACTGTTATCACAAGCTGAGAGGCAGCATTTGCACACATTGCACACAATTGCACACTAATACACACAATTAATACAAAGTGGCTAATCAGCAAATTTGACAGTAGACTCACGAATTGAATTTTCGAAGTATTCTCTCTAACATCAGTAAATTGAAAAGATTGTATTTTACTGCTATTTAGGTGTCATCAATTGAAACTTATGTACCAATTTTTTAGTAAACTCAGTTGAGTTTTGTACAGTGGTGTTTTAAATGTTGAGAATCAATAGAGGTTGCATACCGTACCGACAGTGGGGTGCGGCCGCGTGCGTGTGTTAAGTTAGCGACTGTATTGATAAATTGCTTAGATTACAGTAGCTAACTTGACACGCGCGCGCCCGCACCCCACCGTCAGTACTGTATGCAATTTATTGTGCAGCAGTTTGCCGTGAATCCTGTGAGAAAGTGTATATAATAAATCTTTGTTTAAAAGAAAAATACTCAAAAAAAGATTGGAAAATTGACACGAAACAAGTAAGAAACATAACGAGTTTTACTACTATACTAGATCATGACCTTTATTTGAACAATTGATGAAAATTTAGTCGATTTCCAGGTCAAAGTCTGGATAGAATTTTGAACTAGCGCCAAAATTACGTCTTAGAAATAGAATATAACTAATATTAAGTTAATAAGCAAAACAGGAATAGACCTATTCTATAGGCCTAGAGAAAAAAAACCTCGGCCTTACCCATGCCATGCCATGGGCATGGCATAGTCTAGACTAGGCCTAGACCAATAATTACTTTAAACCCTAGGCCCTAGCCTAGGGCTAGGCTACTTAAACTTAGGCCTAGGCCTACTTATTACAACTTTAAAAGTCAAAGTTTAGTTCAGTATTTTAGGAAAACGCATCCCAAACGATCATGACGTCAGACGATTGTGATTGGCAACTGTATGTAATAGATCTCTAGGTCTACGCCCATATTACAGTATTGTATCAATTGCATTCTTTCTACTCAGACAAAGGGCTCCCCATCTCCTTCTTCTTCTTCTTCTTCTTCTTGGTTTCCTCCAGGATTGGAGAACTGCGGAGTGTATCCTTCATGATCATTCATTCTGTTGAATGAATCCAAAATTACTGTACTCAGTCCCACATACCAACAAAATTGTTACCTTTTTTGCAGGGCCATTTTATGGGTTTATTAATACAGATTGCGGTACAAAAATTACGATATAAAACATAAGTAGAACAAACTAATATTTATTACCAATAGTCCGTGACAAAATCAGCTACTATGCATCAATGACAGTCAAAAATTAAGCTTTTGAATGGACGGTTTTGATAGATGGGCGACTCGTTCGCAGGAATTCTGAATATTAAAAATAACGAGTTTTTTCGGCGCTAGAGGGAGACAGACAAAGCGACGCGGGCTTTCCAGAGTGAGAGATAGATTATTTTTTGTACTGTAACAGTTCGCTCCAAATTTGTTCAATTTATATAAACAAATTAAAAAATACCGATGTTGCTGTGTGAAGAAATTAGGAATTGAATTGTCTGTTGATATTCATTCCGGTATTTTGCGGCACCTAAGTAATGCCTTCCTAAGTCAGCTCCATATTTTCCCCATTATTAAATACTCTTTTGAATGTTATCTTTAAATTTGATCTCTCAAATTTGATTTTATCATTTGTATTTATCTTTTTTTTGGTCTTGTTTTGATTCCTTTATTTGCTTGTTTATTACAAAATGAGAACAAAAAAATTTAAACAGGACCCCAACACTACTGAATGGGGCGGGATGCCAGGTCTGCGGAACTATTTTCATGGCCCGTCGCCTCAATAATAATTATAATTATATTAATAATAATAACAATAGTTATTGCTAACAAAAATGATAATTATTATTATCATTATTATTATTGTTTGTTGGAGACAGGTTTAGGTATCAAAGGCCTGGAAATTCGGGGCGGGGAAAGGGCAGTCTAATGAAATATATTGCTGGACCCACTACAATTGGCCAAAAATCAGAAAAAGGGATTTGTTTGGTAGCTGTTGTGTTTTTTTGCAACATTTTGTAAAATTGAACATTTATAATATTCTTGAGGACGCAGTGCAAAAATATTACATCTTATAAAGAGGAAAGAACCCAATCCTGATGGGATTATAAACAAATTCTCATAACGGGAGACTGAAAAATGAAACCTGTGATAACTAAGTAACATAATTATATCATCTTTGAATACGAAAGAGCGTAGTGAGCACGTTTAGGGGGACTCTTGGACACGTTTAATGATCATTATAAGAGGGAAAAGGGGGACACATATCGGAAGGGATACAATACTTATTAGAAAAGAAAAGGAGCACGTGTCAAAGAACAAAGGGTAATTAATTACCAGAGGTATATGGGGCACTTCTCACACCTGAAAAGAGGCACTCACCATTGAGGGATGAACAAATTGAGGCATTGATGAAGATGGGAAATGGACATTTGTCGACGAAAGGGGGCACGCCTCAGATTTTGATATGGGCTTTTATTTATAAGAAGTGATAAGGAGCATGTATGAAAGGGGATATGTCCCTTATTAAAAAGAGAAAGGGGCACATCATTGTTAAAAGGGAAAGATAACGAGGTGAAAAAGGGCACTGACCAAATATGAAAAGAGGCTCTTATGAGAATGAAAAAGGGGCACTTATGATACTGAAGGAAAACGTGCATTTGTTGAAAGAAAAGGGGCATTATTTTATCAAAGGTGAAGGGTTTTTTTATGAGGAGGGGGGGGGGGGGGTGTGTGGCTCTTATCATCATGAAAAAGAGCATTTATTAGATAGGAAAAGTGGCACCCATCAGAGATGAATAGAGCACTTATCAGAAGGGGAAGGGGCACATACTGATATGAAAAGGAGTACCTGAAAAGGGTTATTTACCAGAGATGAAAAGGGGTATTTATAAGAAGGGAAAAGGAGCTCTTTTTAAATGGGGGTTGTGATCATAATGAAAAGGGGCACTTATTAGAAAGGAAAAGGGGCACATGTTAAAATAAAAGGTGCGCTTATTTCAGTTAAAAAGTGATAGGCCTATAAAAAGGGGAAGGGGTACTTCTTTCAAAGTAAAAGGGGTATTGTTACAAAGTAAAAGGGGCACTTGTCAAAGTAAAAGGGGCACCTCTCAGCTTTGAAAAGGGGGATTATCAGAAGTGAATATAGGGGGCACTTATTGAAAGGAGCATTTACTAGAGATTAAAAAAGGCACTTAAGATAATGGCAAATGGACACTTATTGCAAAGGGAAATGGGAAATGGGGATAATTCATTGTGTTGTGTGAATAAGTGAGTGTCATGGGCCCTGTATCATAAAAAGTTGCTATTGATATAAATCAAGTCCTCTAGTCATCGCAAGTTTGCAGTCCTCTATCTCGCATGTACAATAAAATATTGTTTGATGATTGCTATTGACATCAATTATAAAACGGGGCTCTGGTCCAAGGGTGTGCTAAAAAGCCAGGCATGAAGAAGAGGAATGGATATTCGAGGCCCCTTTTCCAATACTCATTTTTAACCAACTGACGGATTGGTGCCCGAAACTGCCCAGTCTCAATTGTTGATGCACTTTTTTTTTTAGTTCGATAATAATTGCCTGAAGTGCTGGTGGTGGTGGTGGTGGTGGTGGTGGTGGGGGGGGGGGGGGGGGGGGGGGGGGGTAGTTGTCCTCTTTATAATTAAACTCCCAACTTTTTCCATCTAATGTATGTACCAACTTTGACTTTTTGAGTGCGGTTCCGGTAGAGGTATTGGTAATTAATCAGAATTTAAGTGACTGGTATCATACGTAAATCGCAGGGAAGTACGATACAACTGGCAACTGCTCTCTTTTTCTTTCTTCTTAGACTTAGAGTTAGAGCAGTGAAAAGTGAAAATGGCCCTCAGTGCATGCACCAAACGTTGCCGAATTATTATGTGCCATAAGTCTTCTGGGATGCATCTTGTTTTCCAGTCTCGCCATCTAATGTTACACGATCGCATACCGCAATAGCGCCCCTCTTTAACCTCAGCTGATCAATCCACAAAATACAGCTTGTAGCATAGAGGGGCCAACGTTCGAGACTAGACTCAACTGCATAATATGCATACACTAGCTCTATGCACGTTGTGTGCATTGCATTGGGATCCATAGCCGCCAGACGAAGACCCCCGCTGGTTGAATGAACGGCCGGTTGTTGTCCTCAAAGCTAAGTATCAACCCCAAGGCTTCGAACCCGAAAATTTGTTGTGATTTGTGACATGCACGTGGGTATGTTGTGGTTATCTTCTTACATATGATCTTTTTAAATGCAAAGGTGAAGGTTTTAGTATGAATTTGGGGTGTTTGTTGCGAAAAATGGAGCGAACACGGAGATATTTTAATGTGTTCATTGGACTGTGTGCAGCTAAATGCAGCTCGGCTGTACAATCGAAGCTAGCTAGCTTACCGCACTTTGACTGTGTGCGTAGGCCGACTGTAGCCCAGTCATTGACGGCTACAGATAGCCTATGCGGCATAGCATAATGATTCGCTCAACTCACTGAGTCAGTGATTGGTTTAGTTGAAATGAATGCCATAACATGAATAGGTCGAACAGTTATCATAGCATGCTATGCTAGGTTCTGCTTCATCATGGTCTTGGTTATTACAATAATATTATGTTCTAGATGTAGATTCTAGGCCTACTAGAATAACTAGAAGTCTAGTTTTACTTTAGAATGGCTGAGCCTAGATCTAGATGATTGATAAATCTACATGTAGACTAGAGTAAAGTACCCGGTAATCGGTCAGCTCCGGTTTTCGGCCAATTGGTTGGATACATGGTAAAATCACTTTAAAATACATCGCATAATAGCATAACACATATCCCACACATACCATACCATGCCAGTGTCACTGAAGAACCACATTTGCAATGAAAAATATATCCTAAAATATCACATTTTAGCGATGTAATCGGCGGTCCCGCTACCCAAATCTGAAAAATCGAGTTTCTTACGCGTGTATGTAAGAAATATGGGTACCATAAAATGAGCTTTATTTCAAGTATTTTTCAGATATAGAGCCCGATTTTGTGCTGGTCGCAAGCTCAAAAGTATCTCATCGCATGTATTAAATCAATGCAGCCGCACACCGCGACGCACACACGATATGTCTGTCTAATTCAGATTCCAACTTCCGATCACCGCTGTGCCTGTATTCGGCCAGGCGAGCACCCGGGAGCTCCGGCGTGGGATACCTGCTCCGCCCGCTTGTGCTATACATCAGCGCAGAAACGCACGGCGCGCGCGAGCGCTTCCTATTGACTTTGTACATGCGGCCGTAAACTGAAACGCTCGGCCGATAACCGGCTCCAAAACAGTGAAAATTGAAATGAATATTGTCATGGCAATTCGTGATTTTTTTTTGGGATTCTTTTTTTGTTTAAATAATAATAATATTTGCTTCATGATTTGAACAAGAAATGATAATAAATAGGAAGTAAAGAGTCCAATAAATAGGATTTTGTCTTAAGTGGCCGAAAACCGGGTACTTTACTCTAGACCTTATTTGTATGACATCACGCATTCGTAGATAAAAAAGGGCGCCCTCCCTCAGCTACGTTACTAACGATCGGCAGAGGCTATTGAACTACACGTATAAGCATACACGTACCACATACTTTCTCCTAGTCCTAGATCAACATTTTGTCGTCAGCATTTTGATTTTGCTTATCTTGCTCGAGTTTACAGTTGGAAAATTGTAAATTTCTGTTGCGTCGTTGGTTGCTCGAATAGGAGCAAGAGGAACAAAGATGTTTCATTCTATTGCATGAATACCCGGCTATTTTGGTAAATCAAGGAGAAAACGCAGCTAAATTATCCACGGAACGACGTGATACGTGACATCAAACGCAAGGGATGGGAACCGTCTAAGTCATCTCATGTACATACTACAGTAGAGAGGTGTTGTGGACTAGTGGATAAGTCACTCGACTGCAGATCACAAGGTACGGGGTTCAAGTCCCGTCGCGGCACTAATGTCCTTTGGCAAGTAAATGGGTACCTGATATGCTTGAGCGCTAGTTACAAATGTACTTTAGCAGCTCGGCTACGACCAGGGTAATATGTGTAAAGCGCCATGAGCGCCTGACAGATACTGGCGCTATATAAATAACCATACTATTGATATTATTATATATGTTCAGCGCAAACACAATGGCAACCTACTGAACATTCTCAGGATTCTGAAAAAGAGTTACATGTACGTCCTCCCTTTTGTCTAATGTACAGAGCTACGTAGGCGTGACGTCACGCATTTCAAGGGTCTGAAAACGCTCTCACGCACGACGCGCGCTAGATTTCGAAAAAACGCTATACCTTATACG